AGGGAATAAAAAAGGCTTTATATGAAGGACACTGACGGTGAAAGATATTATTCACAAAACTGTCTCAAATAACCAATATCGAATAACACACAGAACGCTGAGTCTGCAACCTTTCTGTGAGGATACTTTATGTCAAAACCAAATATTTCTCACAGATAATTAAACAAGTTCATTTGTATGGCACAGTTCATGCACACGGCATTTTCAGGAAGATTCCACGGCTTTTATGAATGAAGGAAAGAATGTTATGTATGTGTCAGCACAAGTGTCAAATGTGCCCAGTCCACATCTCTTCACACTGTACAGCTGTCGTATGAATGATATACAAATTATGGAATCTTGAAGACAAAAAATAAATGAAACGGAAAATGTATTTAAAAACACTGTTAAATGCTACAAACAACTTTCAAGACTGCATAGAAATGTTAATTATGGTCTTGGGGATAATTGGGAAAAGCCCTATATAATATATTTTTACTGTCTTTATCATAATGCAAATCTCCAGACAAAACCGAAACTAGTTTTGTAATAGGGCTGGAAAGTCTCGTCGCAGAAGCACTTCCGGTTCATTGCTCGGATACAAACAAACCACCAGCTGTTTGATATTTTGATATTTGCTTTCTCATGCAAATATCATCATGTAGCTAGTTAAGACCAGAGTTCACAGCTCATTCCGACCGCTCGCTCAGTTGTTTCGTCCCAGAGACAAAATGTGTCCAAAACAACACCCAAAAATCCATGAAAGAAGAAGTTGACGATCTCAGAACCATAAAACCGGCACGTGTTGTTTGTTTGTATCCACGGGCGGAAATCTCGCAAAATCTCGCACTTCCGTTTTCCGGCCCTATTCCTGAAATGTTCACTTCACAGAGGGAAGAAAAGTAAGTCCCTGTCCTTTACCGATGGCGAGTAAATGGACCACTGTAAAACACGTGCTCGTACATCGTCGGAGATGCAGCTGTCCTCACAGGGTTTTCTGATACGTTCAACCACAAATCACACACAGTGTAGAAGTATAGATTGTGTATATCTATACTGTGTGTGTTGGACTATTTGTTTTTACTTTTTACAGCATGCCTCATGTATCCAAAGTTGTACACTGCAAAAACTGCTGAAAAATAAGTCAAAAATTGCTCAAATTTGGCCAAAATGTGTCTCAATTTTAGCACGATTTGACTGAGTTACAACAAGATTTTCCAATGAGACAAAGAAAAGGACTTTGTTTAAAAAAAAACAGATATAGAAAAACGACTAAATGGCCTCTTCCCATCTGTGAATCTTGTTTGAACGAAAAAAAAAAGAAAAAAAAAAACCTTTCATTCCAGCAATTATCACCTCATATTTTCTCATTTTTGCAGTGTATATTTGTTTCTCATTCTTACTATCCTCATCAACTGAAATATATGGACAATATCAATAATATGGTCATGGAAAGTACAACAAAAAGTTAATTCATAGGGATTTGCTTTAATCTGGTTGGATTTAACGATGGCAGGATTATTTACTGTTACGCAGGAGGCTTTGGGTGTCACATGTCCACAGTCTTGGCCCCGACTGAGCGGGCAAACTTTGGCATCAGTCTGACCTCCACAGCCGACGGACGAGCAAATGAACACCGGGAATACGTCTAACGTCATGTATGTCGTAAAAACGCAGAGATAAAAGAGAGAGATGGACCTGGACTTGGTCTGGAGAAGAATCTGGAAAGACAGAGATGTATTCATGTGTTCTCTCTGTCTTTGCTCTCTTTTCAGTTTGTTATTTATCTTTTTATATACAAACATGGAACATTTGCAATTATGGGTAGGCCTGCAGATTAGTAAGTAGGCCTAATTCGCTCGCAAACTACAAGGGGTAGTTGGAATTGAGGTTTCAAAGAATATGATGCACACACACACACACACACACACACACACACACACACACACACACACACACACACACACACACACACCCGTTTGAGACGTTGTAAGGACATTTTTTCTAAAATCCCTTTAAACCAGACTGTACATAGGTATACGGGGACACTGGGTTCCCGTGGTGCTAGAGCCTCGAAAATCATATCAATGATCATGAAAAAAATCACAGAACCTATACACGGCTTAAAATTTAAAGATTTCCTTTGCTGCACTGAGATATAAAAAATGACTGTTTTCAAGACTTTTCAGGGGTTTGTAAAGACTTTTCAAAAACACGGTCTATAAGGACAGTGTGGTTTACAAGGTCAGTGATGTCATCATACACACACACACTATGTATAACCTGGTTTGAAAGGACACATGGTCTGTGAGGCCTGGTCCGTACACACATACACTGTGTATAACCTGGTTTGAAAGGACACATGGTCTGTGAGGCCTGGTCCGCACACACATACACTGTGTATAACCTGGTTTGAAAGGACACATGGTCTGTGAGGCCTGGTCCGCACACACATACACTGTGTATAACCTGGTTTGAAAGGACACATGGTCTGTGAGGCCTGGTCCGCACACACATACACTGTGTATAACCTGGTTTGAAAGGACACATGGTCTGTGAGGCCTGGTCCGCACACACATACACTGTGTATAACCTGGTTTGAAAGGACACATGGTCTGTGAGGCCTGGTCCGCACACACATACACTGTGTATAACCTGGTTTGAAAGGACACATGGTCTGTGAGGCCTGGTCCGCACACACATACACTGTGGAAAACCTGTTCTGAAAGGACACATGGTGTGTAAGGCCAGGTCAACACACACATACAGTGTGGATAACCTGTTCTGAAAGGACACATGGATAATGAGGCCAAAGAGACTGAGGCACATCATTATAATAATCAATAATCTATGGAGGATTGCTTTTTTAAGAGTTTGAATTGTCTCTGCAAACACGTGTAGAGCTTATTCTTCAGTCTACTGCCAAACTTTGTCATGTATTCCCTTGATACCTTCACTGAATTCCAGTTATTCCTAGTTTCAACTGGCTTCACCGTCTCTATCCTTCACTTAAATAGATGGTACATCTACAATCACTCCATTCTAAAAGAAAATGAGATCAAGCAACAAAAGGTTTACAGACATAACTGCCTCTTACCAACAGAGACGTGTCAATCACACACAAACTATATCTGTATCCACCAGAACTCAACTGCCAATCTGCAAGCATGCATCACATCTAGGGGTGGGCGATATGGACAAAAATAAATATCTTGATACTTTATACCCAACTCCCGATAACGACATTGTCACGATATCTTTAAAATAAAAAATGGTTACACAAAATGATCTGCAATGTTTTGCTTGCCATGGAATCTATAGATAAGAGACAGTGTAGATCAAAAATGAAGCTTTTTATTTTCTGAAGTGCTACACACATCTTTGCAAAACATGTGTAACAACAGGTTGTTTAGGCCAGATGTGACTGCGATTCAACTCTGAGTACTGTTCAAAAGACTGGTTCGGGAAGGAGCCTGGGTTGTGAGGTGTAGAGTGAGTGATACAAAACAACTGATTGAGTTTTGAGTTTGGGATTGTATTAAAAGGAGAAAGTAAATAACACAAAATTGTACAGAATAACAATATAACAATACTGTGACAGCCACAACCTCGCTGATAACGATCCTGTTCTCACGATTCACACGCTCTGTGTTAGAGTCCGTGCTCCCATTCAAAGGGAGAGAAGAGAAGAAACCAAAATAGTCCACGATAGTCCAATATTGTCCGTTGGACGTAAAGGAAAAAATTTAATTGATAGTCTTTTATCCTACCAGGAGTCCATGGCAGGGACAGGGAGATATCAGGATGAGGTGTGGAAACAGCTCAATACAAAAAAACCGGACCTGACAAGAGGCCAGAAAAAGACAAATGAATATTAGGAAAATAAGAGTTAGCTATGTAATGCTCTTAGTTGACTAAACTTAACTTTAATGTATCTATAAGATACAAGATATCTACAATCTAAAACTGCAGATTGAATGTGATTTGAATTTGATGATTTAATTAAATTAACATGTCAACATTTCATCAATAGAAAAGTCTCAGTATACACTAATGCTTAAACACTTCAATGAGAGTACTTCAATAAATATCTACATTTACATAGTCAATATTTCAAAAGATAGCTGCATACATTACATAATGTAGTACAATTAAATAATACACATACAAGTATGTGGAATCATTCATTCACGGGTGTAGATCCAAAAGGGACTAACCAAAAATGTCATTTCCAGTGCATCAAACGCACTTTGGTAATCAATAAATTATGTATTTCAATTCAGGATCATAGTGCACTAATAATTATCTTCTCTAAATGTTTCAGTTATCATGGGAACATAATTTGCATGATAACTAAGTGTTGCGCAACAAACTTTAGAGTCTCTGACGTAGCTACAATAATCAGGTGTTGTCAATCCGGACATCACTGGGGATTTGCGGTTATTTACAAACAAAAGTGTCTAACCGGTATTTAACAAACACTCACTGCGGTAAACAAAGATATTTATCTACACATTAACTTACTGCCTACAATTCGGGTTGGCTTGTTTATGAATAAAGTAAACGGCGTACCTTGAATTGCGTGGGCTTTGACGCTACTCCACACGCGCCCACATGGAAGCGTGGAGTCTACAAAGAGTTTGCAGAGATTAGCGACTGATCATGCGGTTTGCAACATGGACATTTAATATGCATGATGCCGAACAGTTGGCAAAAGGCTCACCTTTATGATAGAGGGAAAAACGCTCCGATAACAAAGTTGTGCAGCTTTGTAACGCTAGCCCGCAGCTATGACATGCCACAGGTACAGCGGAGGAGAGCGTCAAGTGGGGGAGCGCGCATCATAAGGGAAACCATCAGATGTGGCGGAAGCTGACCCGCAACAATAAAACTAAACTGAAATGCGGGTTACAGGCCCCCCTCCTAAATTCATGTACGGCCTCGAACATGTGGACACGCCCTGGCACATTTACTCTTGGGCTGGGAGCCCTCAAGTTGCAAAGCAGCAGAGACGACTGTGCTCAAACCATGGAAGAGGGACTGTATGCTTTGCAACAGCGGTTTCCCAAGCTGTGAATATTGCAGTCGCTGCGGCGGATGTCGAGATCGGGTGGGGCGTCGAACAGGTGGGGTCTGTTCTGAACTAGAGTTTTCAGCTGCAGAACTGGATTCATTTGAGTTGACTGACCTTGGACTGCTGGAAGTCATCACCTCTGGTCCTGAACTTTCAACAGACTCGGGAGATGAGTGTACGGATACTGTCGGAGGATCTTCAGCCTTTTCATCAGGTAAGTCGGTTAAGGTAAGCGTAGGTTCACCAGTAACCATCTCTGACCCAGGATCTGCTCCATTCGGACCCTGTGGATGCTGGCCAGGCAATGTCACAGGCAGAGTCGAAGGGGGCATTGGAGGGTGCAAAACAGGTAAGTCGATTGTCGTGGTGAATCTTATTGGGTCTGAGCCGGAGGAATCAGGTGAGTAGGGCAGGACATCAAGCTCAAATGGATCAGGATCTTCACGCTCTGAAACTGGAACTGGCTGAGACAATGGGCTGAGTCTTTGCTTCTGGGGTTCGGGTTGCTTAGAGGAGGAAAGGTACCCGCAGGGCAGCAGCAAATCCCTGTGCAGCGTTCTAACAGGGCGGTCTTTGCCTTCGGGTCGGACTGTGTACACCGGAAGAGTGCCAGCCCTTTTTAGGACGATGTATACCTCAGCTTCCCACTTATCAGCGAGCTTATGCTTGCCACGGACTTTCACGTTCCTCACAAGGACTCGGTCCCCTACATCCAACACATCCAATGCTCTGATTTGTTTATCATATCTTCGTTTATTCCGATCCATAACTTTTCCTGCATTCTTGGTTGCGATTTTGTAACTTTCTTTGAGATGAGATTTCAGCTTGTCAACATATTGTGAGTGCGACGTTGGTTGTTCGGACACAGGTAATCCAAATGCCAGGTCAACCGGAAGGCGGGGTTGTCTCCCAAACATCAGCTCGTAAGGCGAGTAGCCAGTGACGTCGTTTTTAGTACAGTTGTAAGCGTGTACCAACGGTTTCACAAAATCCTTCCAGTGAACCTTGTCCTGATCCTGTAGCGTTCCCAACATGCTCAAGAGCGTCCGATTGAATCGTTCGACAGGATTGCCGCGTGGATGGTATGGAGTTGTCCTGATTTTATGGATTCCGGCCATTTGACAAAGCTCTTTGATTGTGCGTGACTCAAAGTCTGGGCCTTGATCGCTGTGAAGGCGTTCAGGAATGCCATAGTGGACCAGGAGATTGTCCCATAACGCTTTGGCAACTGTTTTGGCTGTTTGATTCGGGGTGGGAACTGCGACAGCGTATTTGGTGAAATGATCCGTCATAACAAGTACGTTCTTGGTGTTACTTCGATCAGGTTCGATTGACAAGAAGTCCATGCACACAAGCTCGAGCGGCCTTGAAGTTTTAATATTGACAAGGGGAGCAGCTTTTTCTGGTTGTGCTTTCCTTTTGACGCATCTCTCACAGCTCTTAATCTTATTGCTGACATCTCTTGCCATTCTCGGCCAGTAGAACCGGTTCCGGACGAGGTCCAATGTCCTATCTGTGCCAAGGTGACCCATCTTGTCATGTAGTTGGATGAGAACTTCAGACCGACACTCCTCAGGAAGAACCAGCTGGTAACTTGGCTCACCTCCAATGTTCCTCTTCCTGACGAGAACGTCATTTTGGATCTCCAGACGCGTGAGCTCCCGCAGGAGAAGTGGCAAATCGGGGACCTGTTCTCGTAGATTAGGTGGCGGACTCTCACCCGTCTCCAATTGCACAATGACGTGGCTGATGACTGGGTCGGCCCTCTGTTTGGCGGTGATCTCCGCAGCAGTGAGGGACGGAACGACGGATGACGAGAATTGCTCGTCATTCACAAAGCTGTCTGGCAAGGCGTCTGTGTCAATGGAGAGTGCTTGAACAAGAGCCACAACTTGGTCTTCAGTTTCCGGATGACTAAAGACAAGTTGTCGATCACAGATTGCCTGGACTTCATGTTGGTCGATACAGATTTGTGTTGGGTGGTCAAGATGCTGGGCAGTGAATCTGAGGATTCTCTCTCTTTCTCGTTCCGATTGCATGTCTTCAAGGTATTCTGCTTGTGGTAGCCGGGAAAGTGCATCAGCGTCTGTGTTGAGTTTTCCTGCTCGATATTGGATTTTGAAGGAATATGTGGAGAGTGCAGAAAGCCATCTGTATCCTGTAGCATCCAATTTGGCGGATGTTAGCAAGTATGTCAATGGGTTGCTGTCTGTGATGACGGTGAATTCACAACCATACAAGTAATCATGGAACTTGTCTGTAACTGCCCACTTGAGAGCTAAGAACTCTAACTTGTGAGCAGAGTACTTGCTCTCACTCCGTGACAATCCTCGACTAGCATATGAAACCACTCGGTTCTTGCCGTCATTTTCTTGATATAAGACAGCGCCAAGACCAGTACAGCTTGCATCAGTGTGTAGGATGAAAGGTTTACTGGGGTCCGCGAATATGAGAACTGGCGCTTGAGTGAGTTTCTGGATTAGTGTGTCGAATGCTTGCTGACAAACAGGGGTCCAACGTTCAGCAAAAGGCTCTTTGGGATTGAGGAAGTTTTGGGACTTTGGCATATTCTTTGACCTTTTCTGGCTGGGAGGATACCCTGACGTTAACTCGTTTAGGGGTTTAGCAATGTTTGAGTAACCCTCCACAAACCGACGATAATATCCCGCAAAACCGAGGAACGACCGTAGATCTTTCAGGTTCTGTGGGACTTTCCAGGTGGTCAGGGCAGCAATCTTGTCGGGGTCCGTCTCTACACCATTCTTAGATACAACATGCCCAAGATAGCGAACAGAAGTCTGGAAAAAGACACATTTTTCTACCGATAGCTTCAGACCATACTCTCTTAAACGTTGGAGCACTTTCATTAAGCGTTTCTCGTGTTCCTCTAGAGTTGGCGCAACACAATCAGGTCATCGATAAAGACCAGGGCTTCCTTCAAATTGAGTCCGCCCATGCAATGCTCCATTAGACGCTGAAATGTGCTCGGGGCGTTAGTCACACCTTGGGGCATGCGATTGAACTCGTAGAACCCAACGGGGCAGACAAAAGCTGTCTTGTGTATGTCTGTCGCTTCCATTTCAATTTGATAGTACCCTGATTTAAGGTCAAGTACTGAAAACCATTCTGAACCGGAGAGCGCTGAGAATGTGTCTTCTAACTTGGGCAGGGCATATGCGTCTTTGATTGTCTGCGAGTTCAGTCTGCGATAATCAATGCAGAGTCTCACAGATCCATTTTTCTTTCGAACAACGACTATTGGAGAGGCGAAAGGGGAACTTGACTCGCGGATAACACCAGATTGCAAGAGTTCTTGTATGTGTTTTCGGACTGCGTCAATGTCTTGTGGGTGGATTGGACGTGGACGTTGCTTGACTGGGGTTGGATCTGAAAGTTTTATTTCATGTTTGACTTTGTTTGTGCATCCAAAATCCAATTCATGCCTTGCGAAGACCTCGGGCATACTGTCCAACATAGATGTTACTCGTTGTTTCCATTCATATGTGAGTGGGGAATCTCCAAAGTTGTAGTTCAGTTTGGTCTGGACTGGTTCTGTAGTGTTGATTTGCTGCAAGACACTTTGCTCTTTGCACAGGACAGAATGAATGGCACTGATCTCAGCCAGGGGTGCTCTGGTGGGAAGTACAATATCTTGTTCTGTTTGGTTGGTCACAATTACTGGAAGAATAAGTGGTTGTGATAGCGGTAGGTCGACCAGGCGGGATTTGACAATCAAGCCTCCAGGAAGAGAGAACGACGTTGGGTGCTGAATAATCACCTCTCTTTCTCCTTGCAGAAAGGGGGCCACAGCAAAACCATCGATAGCAACAGTCCGTCTTGCTGGGATAATTTGTGGCAATGTGGACTGTGATATGAGGATGGCGTGATAGTCGTCAGCCGCTAGCTTCCACCGGATATCCAGGATCTTAAGCACTGTTCGATATCCAAAGTGTTCTGCTTGGAAAAGCATGTCGCAAGTTTGCCGGTGGTGGTCATATAGAACGTCCAAAGCGTTTGTACCGATCAAGATGGGTGGCTGGGATGTTCGGGTGTCGGGTACGACCAGGGCAAGGGTGTTGAGACTTGTGGCTTCGCCTATGAACTCGGCGGGAAAGGTCATGCCCAGCTCCACATAGCCCAAATAGGGAACACTCTGGCCATTTGCACCTTCAACTTCCAGAAGATTATGGAGGGGCTTTATCTCATGGTCTTGTAGATGAGTGCTGTAAAAAGTGTGCGAGACTGTGGTTACTTGGGAACCAGTGTCAAAGAGGCACGGGAAATCAGTGTCATTGATTTGTATTTGGCCAGTACTTCTGGTACCAATGAGACCTTTTGGGATCACAGGATGCGGGGAAATCTTTGGTTGGGGACAGGCGTCAATTGCAGCTCCCACTTGTCCCTCTGTGGAAACTGCCTTTAGTTTGACTGTTTGGAGTCCCATGTTCTCTGCTTCTCACGCAGTTGGCGTCGCTTGTCTTCCACCAACATGGGATTTGCAAGGTTCGTACAGTTGGGTACAATGTGACCATCGTCGCCACACTTAAAACAGAACCATGGCTTTGGCTTGTGTACATTGGGCGGTTGTCTGGAGGATGGTTTCTGTTCAGGTCTCGTCTTGTAACTGGTCTTGGGAAAGAAGTGTGTTCATTTGTTGCTGTAGCTTCATCATCTGCTTGCGCAGGTCTTCAATGGCATTGTCTGGAGGATGGCCACAGGAACAAGAGGTAGTATGTGTTTGGACTGTAGCTCTTTGCTTGGCTGCTGGCAGATGTTTCTTCATGAGTGTCTCTTTTGCAGCTTGTCTGTCTTCCTCTGTCCTTAACATGAACAACAACTCTGCAAATGACGGTGGATGACCTTTCAGCTGTTCAAGTTGAAGTTTGTTAATAACGTCATTGTTCCAACAGCCTCTGCAGAATTGGTTAAGCAGGTACTTGTTTGTGTCAGTTGCTGGTATTCCGCCACGTTTTACCACAGTGCTGAGTGTGAGTTGAAGCCTCTGCAGATACGTGGATGGTCGCTCTCCATGGTCCTGAAGTGTGTTCAGGAATTGAGCAAACAGTTCCTCACCGTCCTGTACTGTAGCGTATGCAGAATCGAGCACATGCAAGAAGGCAGAAGGCAAGGAATCTGGGCCGAGGTTCTTCACCAAGTCAGCAGCTGGGGACAACAAACTCTCAATAATACGACGTGTTATATGTATTGGTGACAACCCGGGATCCGCATTCAGTAAGTCTATGTGAGACCTCCATGAATCGTAGTCGGACTCGTGCACCGGCTTTGGACTTTTGCCGGAAAAAGTGCGAAGGCGGAGAGACGGCAAGGATTGCATGATTACGTCGTCTTTGCGTACTATATGTTCAACTACCACCCTCTGGACTGCTGGTGGGTTCAAATCATTGGCTGACAGGGAAATTCTCGGGCTCTGGGTTGGACGGCCATCATGGTCAAATGAGGGCGGAAACACTGGGATCTGGTCTGTAGGCATATGTTGTTTTGAAGATGGTCTGAACTCCGGGAAGGTTTTTGGTCTGACTACCGGCTCCTCGAGTTCTTCCTCTTCATCATCTTCTTTCATGGTAACTGGCCCAAGATGAATGCTGATCTGATCCATCAGGCCTTTTAGTACTACTTCGAATGGTTGACCGCTACTCTCTGCGAGTTTCCTGATCTCTCTGAGGTAATCAGGGGGTTGAGCCGACTCCGCTGTACCTGTGGCGGAGCACTCACTCGCACCCGAAAGTGAACGAACAACAAAAACAACATCTGCGCCACTACGCGAAGGATAAGTGTATGGTAGCAAAGGTTCTAGAGATACTAACGCTGCCTTGTTAATAAATTCAACGATCCGGTTTTTGTATAACGCACTGTCTCTGTCTGTAACAGTAAACGTGGTTTTTATTTCACCATAACTACGTAATTGTTGAATAATCTCATCGTCGGATTGGGTGTTAGTTACACCGGAAATGACGACAGAATGAGCAACATTCACGTCGGCTTTGGGAAACAAATCCATTTTTAAAAACACTCTTTTTGTCCTTTAAACAAATAAATCACACACCTTCAACAAACCACAATGCACCAGGCTCCTGGCTAGCTCGCCACGCTGTAACAACAGGTTGTTTAGGCCAGATGTGACTGCGATTCAACTCTGAGTACTGTTCAAAAGACTGGTTCGGGAAGGAGCCTGGGTTGTGAGGTGTAGAGTGAGTGATACAAAACAACTGATTGAGTTTTGAGTTTGGGATTGTATTAAAAGGAGAAAGTAAATAACACAAAATTGTACAGAATAACAATATAACAATACTGTGACAGCCACAACCTCGCTGATAACGATCCTGTTCTCACGATTCACACGCTCTGTGTTAGAGTCCGTGCTCCCATTCAAAGGGAGAGAAGAGAAGAAACCAAAATAGTCCACGATAGTCCAATATTGTCCGTTGGACGTAAAGGAAAAAATTTAATTGATAGTCTTTTATCCTACCAGGAGTCCATGGCAGGGACAGGGAGATATCAGGATGAGGTGTGGAAACAGCTCAGTACAAAAAAACCGGACCTGACAAGAGGCCAGAAAAAGACAAATGAATATTAGGAAAATAAGAGTTAGCTATGTAATGCTCTTAGTTGACTAAACTTAACTTTAATGTATCTATAAGATACAAGATATCTACACAATCTAAAACTGCAGATTAATGTGATTTGAATTTGATGATTAATTAAATTAACATGTCAACATTTCATCAATAGAAAAAGTCTCAGTATACACTAATGCTTAAACACTTCAATGAGAGTACTTCAATAAATATCTACATTTACATAGTCAATATTTCAAAAGATAGCTGCATACATTACATAATGTAGTACAATTAAATAATACACATACAAGTATGTGGAATCATTCATTCACGGGTGTAGATCCAAAAGGGATCAACCAAAAATGTCATTTCCAGTGCATCAAACGCACTTTGGTAATCAATAAATTATGTATTTCAATTCAGGATCATAGTGCACTAATAATTATCTTCTCTAAATTGTTTCAGTTATCATGGGAACATAATTTGCATGATAACTAAGTGTTGCGCAACAAACTTTAGAGTCTCTGACGTAGCTACAATAATCAGGTGTTGTCAATCCGGACATCACTGGGGATTTGCGGTTATTTACAAACAAAAGTGTCTAACCGGTATTAACAAACACTCACTGCGGTAAACAAAGATATTTATCTACACATTAACTTACTGCCTACAATTCGGGTTGGCTTGTTTATGAATAAAGTAAACAGCGTACCTTGAATTGCGTGGGCTTTGACGCTACTCCACACGCGCCCACATGGAAGCGTGGAGTCTACAAAGAGTTTGCAGAGATTAGCGACTGATCATGCGGTTTGCAACATGGACATTTAATATGCATGATGCCGAACAGTTGGCAAAAGGCTCACCTTTATGATAGAGGGAAAAACGCTCCGATAACAAAGTTGTGCAGCTTTGTAACGCTAGCCCGCAGCTATGACATGCCACAGGTACAGCGGAGGAGAGCGTCAAGTGGGGGAGCGCGCATCATAAGGGAAACCATCAGATGTGGCGGAAGCTGACCCGCAACAATAAAACTAAACTGAAATGCGGGTTACACATGCACTAACATATTGTCGTGCTTTACCTTCCGTTGGTGATGGTGGTGGTGGTGGTGCGTGGGTTAGGAGACACACGACAAGGAATCTTCTTATGTGAACTTTAATGAGTTCAAGTAAAAAGTACGTACAAAAACAGCTGTTAGTGATCAGTCAGGATAACACACTGTGTTGCGGCTTCTGGCTCGGGTATGGACAGCGGTTGAGCAGTGTCCATACGTGGGCCATCACCTAGCAACAGTAGTCTGACAACAAACATCTTGTGATAGTGAAACGTTATGTTGAGCTGCATACACGGACCTGACCTAGGCTATGAAAAATTAAATTAAAATACAAAACTTTATTTATTATTACTCTATGGTTATGAACATCTTATTCAGCCTTACACTACACCCCCCCTTTTAAGAGTACTGAGTCCCTTCAGTGCAGGTAACGTAGGGAAAACCTTCTAGAAATTAGGTAACTACAATAACTAAACGCAAGTAACTGAAAGAGCTTGTCCTAAGTGTAACACAACACAAATAATTTTCCTTAGATCAGTATAAACATCTAACTGTTAGCTCACAGACTTTAGCTTAATATAACTCATAACTAATATCCGAATCTCTCTGGCATATTGACAATGCGACCTCTAGATGTTTTAACAGTCTTATCTGAAGAGTTTGTATCGCCTTGTCTTCTTCCTGGTTGGCACCCTGGATCACTGGACTGGGATGCCTCGCCTGGACCCTTGGATTGGAACGCCTCACCCGGACCCTTGGCAGGACATGGATCATCTGGCAGCGGTAGCACTGGCACCAGTGGAATGTCCTCTTCATGTGACTGGATGTCTGGATCTCGGCACTGCTGCAGCAATTTGCTTCTTTGACGTGAAACCCAGACTGGTATCACTTCACTGTCATAGGGCTTGAGTCTATCATGATGCATTACTGTACTGCGCTTGGGACCTTGAATCTCGTAGAGTACAGGACCACGTCGTGCTGCAACAATCAGGGGGCCTTTCCATGGTGCTTGGAGCTTTGGGCTTAGTCCTTTCTTTTTGGTGTCATCTTTAACAAACACCAGGTCTCCAACACTGTAGGAGTGTTCTCTTGCTCGTAGGTCATGCACTTTTTTCTGTCTCTCTTGTGCAGTGCGGAGATGGTCTCTTGCTAGGCTGTGTACCTCTTTCAAACCTTCTTCCAGATTGTAGAGGAAATCTGCTTCTTTCAATGGGTCGGCATTGAGTTTTGCGCTACCAGACTGGATATCTTGCGGCTGGTGGACCTCTCTGCCAAGCATAAGTCGGTTGGGTGTGAACCCTGTCACTGCGTGCCGTGAGCTGCGGTAAGCTGCAGTAAGTAGTGGCAACTGCTCGTCCCAGTTCTTTTGGTTCCGGTTCACATAACATCGAAGCATCTGCAGCAAGGTCCTATTAAACCGTTCTACCTGTCCATTAGAGGAGGGGTGGTAGGGCGTAGTCCTGGTCTTGGTAATTTGCAGAAGTTTGCACACATTTCGAAACAACAAACTCTCGAAATTACGGCCTTGATCTGTGTGTAACTCGAGGGGGGTTCCAAACTTGGCGACAAAGTCATAGACTAGCTTTCTTGCAGTCGTTTCAGCACCTTGGTCAGGGACTGGAAAAGCTTCAACCCACCTCGTGAACTGATCGATAATGACAAGAATGTACTTATTACCAGAGCTGGATACTGGAAATGGGCCGAGGATATCAAGGTGCACGCGGTCCATGGGTGCTCCAACTTGGTAACTTTGCAACTTTGCCCTTTTTGTTGGTCCGGCAGTTTTGCATGCACTGCAGTGTGGGCACCTCTTGACAAACAGCTGAACATCTCTGCCCATTCCATACCAGTGGTAGCTTTGCCGCACACGCTGTAGGGTTTTGGCTTCTCCCAGGTGACCAGAGTATGGAGGATTGTGGCATGACTGTAGGATTTCTTTCTGCATGGACGATGGAACTAATAGCAGCTGAGTTGGGTGCTGGTCTCCAATTCTGTCCCAGGAGTAATAGAGAACTCCTTGTCTTAATGTGACTTGGGGCCAACATAGCCAGAACTTTCTTACAGCAGGGCCCTCCAGCATTACTTCATCTTTGGTGGGGAGTGTCCCTGTTTCCTTCCATGTATGAAGAGTAGCGAGAACAGAATCTGCTTTCTGCAATGTTGCCAGCTGCTCGGGACTAAGGGACTCAAGCCAGTTGACTTCAGGGGTCTCTGGCAAAGGTGCAGATGGCTGACTCTCAACCGACTGAGTGCCATCAACATTTGCGTTGCCTTGGGGCTCAATGCACCTTACTGCTAGTGGCACAACATCATCCACATCTTCTTCGAACTTGGCCCACTGTTCATGAACTTTCCAGCAATACCTGCACCCTTTGCATGGCAGATCTGACAGATTTATCCCTGCCTGGTAACAGTCACATTTGTCCATGTTGTTTGGCAGCCTTGATAGGGCATCTGCATTAGCATGCTGCTTACCAGCCCGATGCTCAATGTGGAAGTCATATTGGCTCAACTCTTCCAGCCAACGAGCTAGCTGTCCTTCAGGGCACTTGAAACGGAAAAGCCAGGTGAGACTGCCATGGTCGGTCCGTAGTAGGAACTTCCTGCCCAGTAGATAATGGCGGAACTGGCGTGTTGAAGCGAACAACAGCGAGTAATTCACGACGAGTGACGCAGTACCTTTGTTGAGCTGGGGACAGGCGGCTACTGGCATAGGTCAGAACTCTCTCTTCTCCCCACTGGATCTGCGACAGGACTGCTCCGACACTGTTGTTTGAGGCGTCTGTATCCAGAATGAACTTTCCTTCAGTACGGGGATACCCCAACACAGGTGCGGTGGTCAGCTTTTCTTTGAGCATAGTAAAAGCAGCTTGGTGCTCGTCAGTCCATTGAAACACTGTTCCCTTTTTGAGAAGATTATGGAGGGGGCTTGCCAGCTCTGCAAAACTTGGGACAAACTTGCGATAATAGTTACATAGCCCAAGGAAGGCCTGCAGCTCTTGTAGGTTGTTGGGGGGGTTCCATTGCTGTACATCTTTGACAAGAGCAGGATTTGGTCCAACTCCGTTGCCACTCACAATGTGTCCAAGGAAGAGAACTTCTTCTTCGGTGTGAACACCCATGCCCTCGGAGTGAACACCCCTGCCCTCGGACTGAACACCCATGCCCTCGGAGTGAACATCTGTGCCCTTAGTGCGAACACCCGTGGGCTCGGTGTGAACACCCCTGCCCTCGGTATGAACAGCCGTGGCCTCACACAT